GTTCCGTAGTTTGAGAATTCTACTAATTCCAAGTATTCCATTATTATTATTAAATAAGAGAATATAAAAAGTAAAGAGGAGAAGACATAACCAGAAGAATTGTGAGATAAGTTAATTTATCAAGTTGAGGCATTTCGATTTGGATTTCAAATAAGAAAAAAAGGATTTTGTGAAATTTAGGAGTCGTTCGAAAGCATCAAGAGGGAAGAACTCAGATAGAAAGGCAGGCGAAGTTGGCGGCCAACCTAATTCCCCTCCCAGTTGTACCCTTGTGCATCCCCTTCGTAAACGATTTCCACTGGATCTGGAGATTCCCCGGGGCCCCCCGAATCATCATCTTCGGACCCCGAATCATCATCCCACCTTTTACGCTTCCGCGAAGAAGATGGGCCTGCCTCGTTCGCCCCATCATTTGCTTTTGTGCTTTCAGGGGATCCCGTGGAATGAGCCTCCTGCTCTTCCAAAGGCGCATCGGGGTCGGGAGAATCCGGTTCACCGAGCTCGGCCCGGCGAAACCGCTTCGCCAGATTGGTGGCTATTGCGACGAATTCGCTTGCGTCCCCGGCTTCCGTATAATCGGAGAAGATTTGTTGAAGAGTATCTCCTCCCTCACTATTCCACAATACATGATTTTCAGTGAACGATCGCGCAGATTCACCTTCCTCTAAAGGAAGAGGAGTGCCTACTTCGTGAAATATTCTTTCAACCTTGGAAGTCAACTCCGCAATTATGTCTTCGGGATGGGCGGCGTGCGCCATTTCCTGCTGGAGGTCTGGTAGTCCGCCAACGGGAGGTTGGTCTATGGGAAAGTCACCCTCGTTAGGAGCATTGGTCATGACGAGAACATTGAGATCCGCGACATTCTCATTCCCAAGATGAAAGGCTATTCCTTGAACTCCGAATAAGACAACAAATGCCATTATTAGTACTGTCAACACAAGACCAAACGATGGTATAGCAATGAACAAAAGAATGACACTTGGAAATATGGTCCGAATAATTTTGATAGTAGTTCCATGAACAATCCTTTGTGGGATTGGATTAGTTTGCTTGTTGAAATGCCATAAAGCGCGAACCAACATCTGTGATACGAAAACCAAAATAAGAATGAGGAAGAAAAAGATATCGTTCTGTAAGTAAATGATCATGGGGACACATTGTTTTGAGGACCACAATTTCTTGCACTGTGCCTGTAGTGATTTCAGAATTCGGCAACTTAGCCTACTAAAAGATCAGTTACAAGAGCACAATGCTTTTTGTGGCTTCCTGCTCGGCAGAGAAGCCACGCTGCCGGGGCGGCCCTGTCACCCAGAGAAGATTTCTTTTCTTTGCTGATTCCTCTCAATGAAATTTGCGAAGAATAGCGGAGAGAAATGGTAACGTAATAAGGGAAAGGGAGCTAGCTGCTTCCATATCACCCCCAAAAAAGAACCCAAAAGTTCCAGAGGCATCTTCCATTCATTTCGATTTAGGTCTTTCTGCACCATATTTAGATCTTCTCTTTCTACGATCCGAAATTCCCAGGAAATCCTTGACTCCTCGAATACGATGGGATTTCACACCTGGCGAATCTTTCACTCTACCTCCTCTGACTAAGACTATAGAATGTTCCTGCGAATTATGACCTTCGCCTGGAATGTGAGCAAATATATCATGTCGATTGCTCAACCGTACTTTTGCTATCTTACGTAGAGCTGAATTAGGTTTTTTCGGTGTTCTCGTTGAAACACGCAGGCATACTCCTTGCTTCTGGGGACATTGATCCGAAGCTCGAGTACGGTCCGTGCGCCGTTTTTCTTCTCTACCATGACGAATCAATTGATTTTTTGTAGGCATCCCTCTTTCCTATGTCCTTCCCCCCTTTGCCCTTTCAAAAGTGGTTACTCCCGATCCGAAGCACCCCTTTTCCATTCATAGAGAGATCCAATCGTCAAAATCAATAAAAAGGCCATCATGGACCAAGATCCAAACAGATCAATCTTGTTAGGAGGTACTGCCCAAGGAAAAGAAAAGGTGAATTCCGGATCAGGGATAATAAATAAAATAGGAACCAGATAAAATCGTATATCGAAACGACTTCTGGCATCACCGGAGGGATCGGAACCACATTCGTAGGCCGACAATTTTTCTGGATAGGTCGAACTATTGGAAGCAAATGGAAAAGGAACACCGAGTGGAATCAAAGAAACTAGCGGACTGATACTAAATAGATACAAATAGGTGCAAATTCCGACATCACCAAAGCCCACTTCGTTCTCTCGCTCTCCTCGCGGCGCTCCTTGCTCGCGGAGCGGCATACCGAAAAAAAGACGCTCAGATGTGGATTCGAACCACTGAAGGATTTCCAGGGCAATGCCCCTTGCTCTTCCCACTGAAACAAGAAAAAAAGGATTTGCAGTCCAGCAAGAAAACGGATGCGCTAACGCGCAACGGCTTTCGCGCTAGTTGCTCAATCCGTTGCTTGTTTTGCTCTAACCAGCTGAGCTACCAGAACCACTTGCCTAAAGTCTCTTTTCTTCATCTATGAGCATCCTACCTGCAGTGGAGGAGCTTGCTCAAGAACCGAGAGCCGGCCAGGGACTGGACGGCCCTCGTTCGGGAAGGTCTTCTTCGCTATAGACGCCACCAAGAACAAGAAAGGGGCGCTCCGCTCCTAGTCACTAAGCAGCTATTCTGTCCGACGGCGGACTCCATCAATCTGAGGTTCTTTCTCTCACGTAATTTCGCCCGCCCGTTCTACTTCCGTGCCGGAGGAAATGGGATTCGAACCCATGATACAATCTTCTTGTATGTCGATTTAGCAAACCAATGCCTTAAGCCACTCAGCCATACCTCCAAGTTGTTGATCGGAATTGGATGTGCCGGGTTGGTTGCCCGAAGATCCACTGCGTAAGCCGTAGCGCGCGTACTCTTCTTTACTGAGCGAGAAAGACTCTATCCAGATCTATGGATCTCCCCAGCGTCCAAGCGAGACCCCATCCAAACCAAATCCGCCACTCGTTGGGCGAGGCCTTGCTTTCTATGAACACCTCACCACTGAATGAGAAACTTAGCCTCCGACCCGACCAAGAGAGAAGACAGGGTCAAGCCGACGCCGCCCTTCCTCACCTGCCTGAATGGAATGAATATCTCCTTTGTCTAGTCGAGAAGGGAAAAAGCCCGGCGGGGAACAGGACCGTGACTCTTCTAAACCATTACATGAACGAGAAGTCCATTCTTGTCATGATCGATCCATGTCCTACCATAGTGCCCGGAGAACCTGCTTCTAGAAGATTCTATAGTGATCCACTGGAATCGGCCTCGGGTGACGCCTCCCTAGTCGTCGAAAGATTTCATCCCTCGCTCGGTCGTTAAGGTGGGGTGAAAACTGCAATTAATGCTCTATCTTCGTCATAGAATATGGGATACTCACTTTCAATGGACTCGCATCCCCAGAGCCTCAGATTGGCCTGCCCTTCCAATCGGGGTTATAACGGGTCCGGTATCAGCAACACCAGCCAATCGTGTTGGTACGGTGGGTTCCCCATACCCACTATTTGGAAAAAAAGCTTGCCATAGCAGCTCAAACCTCCGATCCCTTTTAGGGTTCTTGGTTATCACTTGGCTATTCGCTCCATTCCTCTTCAATCCATCAGGATTTGAGTGGCAGAAAATAGTAGATGACTGGGATGACTTCTTTTCTTTCTTCTGAAGTCAGTGTGCTTCTTTACCAGGCATAACATGATAATTCCTCTATGGCGTGTGCTCCTTTCCTATGTAATGACTTTCCTCCTTTTTCATGCCTCGTGCGCGTGCATAAGCTACGAGTTCCCTGGCCCACCCTAGTTCATCGAATAGTGAGACTGTTCAGCCGTTAATGCACCTAGGACGTGCTTACTAGGAAGATGAGAGACATGCTCGCTAGCCCCAAGTTGGGGTGCACCTAAGTTCTATCATACATAAGGAAATATATATTGGACCAAGGGATGCCTGCTCAATTCCATTTTATGGTCCGATCTAGCAAAATTATTAACATAGTTCAAATCGGGACGAGGAAAAGAAGGCATAGGAGTGGCAGATGCACGATCACTTGTAAAGTCCTATGAGCCAGGTTTATTGACTGGATTGTGTACCATAGAAAGTAAGTCTACCAAGAAGCTACCATTGAAATGGAATCTGGAATAGTAGGAAGAGTCCTCGAGTCAAACATCTTGGTCTACCCTACCCAGTAGGATTCAGCAACCACCGAAAAGCAAGGAGAAATCTTTGTACGTAATCCTTCGCTCGATCATTTGCATCAGCATGTCTTTCTTTTGCCAAAACAAAATAAAATGAGTATTAAGCAGCAAAACTTATTTGATCTGGTCACACCACCTAAGATTTTAGGTTCTGCGTATGCATGTGATTGCTCATCATCACAAAAGTTCTGAACTAAGTAGGCTTCATAATCCCACATTGCAGGCTTGCCTCCAGCATCGTCCACAGCTGCTTTTGCTTCTTCCTCACGGGATCCTAGGAAAGATTATTGAGTTTTGTACTCATAACTATCCAGATTCAAAAGATCCAAGCTAAAGGAATTAGAAATGAGTGCTAAAGAGAACGAAAGGTATTGGATCATTGCCTGCGGCTGCCACGTCTGCTTCATTTTACTCGCCTGGATCACTAGATCCTCTAATCTATTAAGTTTGAAAGGGACAAGAGTCATAAGATCCTGGTCGACTGACCTCAATTATTAACTGCACCGGTACCCGCGCGCATACCCCCCCTTTTTTTAGCTCGTTGATCATCAGACCTTGCAAAAAGTGAAAACGTTGAGTCATACCGGGCTTCATCTACATCCTATTCATTGCTTTACCCAGATGCATACTCCTCAGAGATTTCTAAAGAGTTGGTGGTTTGAAACCTTTGTCCAACGAGGAACGAGAGAAGATAAAGGATACCTAGGTGGCAATGGGTCTTTATTAAACAGGATTCGGATCCTTCTGATCGGGAAGTAAACTACAGCCAATCAGTAGACAATTCTGGTGGACATGAATACCGACCTGTTAGGTGAGAGAGTCAAAGCCGCTGCTTTCCTCTTCATTACAATTTTACGGATTTGACTCAGTTTGAGAGAGAAACCGCCTTGGGCTAGGAAGAAGAAGACCGCGGTGAACCATAAAAGCTAAAGCAGGTAGGCCTATTCCTTTTGAAAGATCCGAGGTCTTCCTCATCAGAGGCTCTAGCGCCTTACTTTCCTTCCGTTTTTCCAATCCCGATTCGAGCTATGAGCTGTGGCACAAGCCAGTTGAAGAAACCATTCCTTTTCTTTCTTTTCAATGATCCTACTCGAGATAGGGAGAGTAAAAGCCCTCATTGTCCAACCTGTCTATCTAGTGAACTTTCTCCTTGCTCTAATGAACTGAACCCCGACTTATTTTGATTGTTACAGATCTAGCTATTTCTCTTACAAAGCCCCCGCTAAAAAGCTAGGAATCTAATGAGTTACGAAACACGAAAGTCAGAAGGACAGTAGGTTTAGTGAACCCTCGGCGCTAACATAGTTCAAAGACTCGCTTCCCTTTCTATAGAGCCAATCTCTCCAAATTCCCGACCCAAAGCGAAAGCTGTAGATGCTGATTAATCACCCGTGGATCATAGGTCCAAAGCAGGACCGAGCAAAGCACTATTCTAATAAATACGTAGTTGTGCCGACAGAAGTAGAAGGCGCGCCAAGGGCAAAAAGACGAAGAGATTTCCTCTTGTTCGAGTGTTAAGCAAGCCTGTTGCCTCTTGTTGTTCTAGGGTCAGCAAGTAGGAAACAAGGCTTGCTTAACACTTGTCTTCTGTTCCTGTCCCCTTCCAAGTTAGGGGATGGTTCATGCCTTTTGAAATGAGATTCTAAGGAAGAAACGCACGCTGTATCACGAGTTAGTAGGTCAATGAAGGGAATGATAGCTCAACTTGTTTTTATGAAGTCAGATTTCCCTTGTTTTGCACTTCGCAAGGGGATGACTTGCGCTTGCTGTAGCCTAACTTTTTATAGTTCGAAAGGAAGAAATACTCCATCTGTTTGTTCTTGACTTAAGCAGTTCCTGTAGTTAGGTTTCCTCAATCAAAGAGGAAGGAAGTATGATTCAAGTCACTAGTTTACTGGGTTTTTTTGCCTTGGTAGTCCGGGAGATACTGATTATGTCGGTACGGACAAGTTCGATTCGAGCAAACTATGGAGAAGTACAACATGCGTAAATTAGCCATTGGAAATGGAGGTACAAGCGAGCGACTAAGTCGATTTCCTTTGTTTTTGGCGATAATTAAACTAGAGAAGCTGCTGTGAGCGACGGGAAGCCATTTATTTTCATAAATGTGTAGAAGGGGAAACGTTTCTTTCCCTTCCTATTGCGTTTAGCAATGGGGATATAATATAGTGAAACATCCCGAGTGATATTATACATGGAGCAATGGCCCCCCTTTCGGGCGCATACTTCCCCTTCTCAGTCTCTTTCGCACTGTTTGTTCACTCTGATCTGAGCCCTCATCCCTGGATGTCAGTAGCAGTTTCTTCTTCGACGAGCTCGACTCAGATATATCTTCCGCCCGGGTGGCACAAGCAAAGAGAGATTGCGCTCTCTTTTCCGAGAGATTCTTTCCAAACTTGTCAAGTAGATGACTGGCTGGGTAGCGAGTACTACTTTATTCGCGGTACTAACCTCCCCTCAAGTCCCAGGAAGAGAGAAAGGATACCATATTACAAGTAGGTGGTTGCTTAGAGCTTATGGCAAAGAATGCCACCCGCCTTACACACACGCGGATGAAATCATCCTACGTAAGAAGACAAAAGGGATAAGAAGAAAGCTTCGGGTCTAATGGAGCAGCTTGACCGCTAGCTTCGACCTCCCCATTTCTACTTACGTTACTATGGATCAAGCATTATTACAGGAATCTCGGGCGAACCAGAAGGGACATCGTTCGAGCTTTAGTTAAGCGACTCATAAGAGGATCAACGAGCCTTCCCTTCTCCCTCCGTATGGATACAAAGATGGACATATTAGCAGCTTAACGTATCTCACGGCTATCTTGGCTCATACTACCACCTCCAATAATCCCTTTGGTTGAGGCATCGAATGGCGAACCCCGACCAAAGAAAGGGAGTGCATTCCTTTTCATTCGATTTAAAGTAGATACACTACGTCTTTAACTGATTGTATTAGAAGCTGCCCTATCAAGAACCACCCTGTAGAAGCATCTCAACCACCTAACTCGAATAATCATATAAAAAGAGAAAACATAGTCCATCTATAAGAAGAGGCGTCTACTCCTCCATTCTCTCGCTAAGGCA